ATATGTTTATATATTTGTGTTGGACTAATTTATCCACTAAAACTCAGCCTATAGTGATTAAGTTTGCCCCTCCAGCCAATGGCCCCTCCACGATCTTAGCTCAAGCTCCGCCACTGGGACCACGGGCAAAAATAACCGCCCATCACATGCAACTTTCCTTCTCTAATGGTAATTAATCCCTCCCAGTGCTCTGTTTTTTTCCTTACAATTCTCTTTCTATGGGCCCTCTTAGCTAGAGAATGTCAGCTGGGAACCATCACAATTTATGTTGTTGTATGAGAATGACAAGTTTAATTGGTGAGAGCATGACCCTGATTCATTTTTGTCTAGAATTTATTACGCTTGCAAACTAAAATAGCCGTCCATCCCCATGACAACATAAATTGCTCCCTTCCAGTGAACATCAGCTAAATAGAACTACCACTTATCAACTTGAAGCCCCCCCAAAAAGATAGGGTTCCTTTGCCTCCCGCCTGTCTCGCTCGTCTCCGATGGCCTTAGGGAAGGCCATGGGGGGCAGAGTGGACCCCGGTGTGAGAGCTCCGTTTTTAGATCTTTCTTCAAGGTTTGTTAGGGTTTGTGTCCTACTCAGAAAGGCGAGAGACAGCGGCAACTCCTCGAAAATGAAATAAGATTCTCCCCGCCTAGCCCTCGTTCCGGTGGTGCGACGTGTGGAGGTATGTCTTCGACGGATCCACCTTCGGTGGATTTGCTCGGATCGGGCCGTTGTTCGTCTTTGTTCTTGTGTCTTCATGTTGGATCCGTCTAATCTACACTAGCGACGATTGATGTTCTCTTGCATTGGTCCTATAGAGGCTTAGCACGACGACTTTCCGAGTGTGTACTACAACAAGTTTTGCGCTGCTCCGATGAGGGAGTGGTGATGGCAGCGGCGCGCCTTCGGCTCACTTCATTGCTTGTAGTCATCGCTAGGTGGTTTACGGATATTATTATTGTCAACTGAAGCGAAAGCAGACTTGCTTAAGTCTTAGTCTGACTAATATTGTTACCGGATTTCTCTTAGCTTAGTCGACAACTCTGTTACCGGATTTCTTGTAGCTTAATTTAGGACATACCGTAACTTGGCTTTGATGGATATTCTTTCTATCACCAAACAAATGAGACATGCAAATGCAAGTATTTACTCTACTCTGCTCAAAAGGACAACAAAAGTGTTTTCTTTCTCGCTCCAAATGTACTCTACTACGTGCTACGTGCTCTACCGCCGCCGGCTACCCAAAATTCACCGCTCCATGCCGTGGTTGCTGCCGGACCCGGACCAGCGCCCGCTCACCGCCGCCGTCGCCGCCGCCTCGCCTTCCTCCGACGGCGCGACCCCGGAGCCCTCCTTCCGGCTCCTCGTCTTGATCAGCCCGTACAGCTTCTTCAGCTCCCGCATCGGCGCCGCGTCCTTGCCCAACGCGCCGCCGCCCGTCGTCCCCGCCTCCTCCTCCGCCCCGCCGTCCCACTGCCCGGCCCCTGACCAGCTCGTGATCCGCCGGTGCGGCATCCGCGGAGGCGCTGTTGTCGGCGCGGCCGAGCCTTCGGACGCGCGCTGGAGCTGGAGCCTCGTGATGACGGTGCGCAGCGCGCGGCTCGGGGACGCGCGGTTGGCCAGCATGATCTCGCCCAGCTCCGCGGGGCTGGGGCGGCGCTCGCCGGCGGCGTTGAACCCCTCCTCCACCTGCGGGAACAGCTTGTGGTCCGTGAGCCCCAGGTAGCTCCCGGCCAGCGCCTTGAAGGCCTCGAAGTCGCAGAGCGTGAACCGGACGTGCACGTCCAGCCGCCCCGGCCGCGTCACCGCCGCGGGCAAGGGCGCGCCGCCCCGCATGGTGAACACCATCACGCGCTCCTCGCCGCAGCACGAGGACACGCCGTCCATGAAGCTGAGCACCCGCGCCTCCGCGCCGTCGCCTTGGGCACCTTGGAGCTGCAGGTGGCGGTCGAGGTCCTCGAGGAGGATGAGCGAGCGCGGGGTGGTGCGCATGAGCAGCGCGCGGAGGTCGACGACGTCGGCGCGGGACAGGTCCACGTCGTACACGTCGTAGCCGAGGAAGCGCGCCATGGCGGCCGCGAAGGTGGACTTGCCGGTGCCGGGCGGGCCGTGGAGGAGGTAGCTCCGGCGCCAGACGCGGCCGAGGCGGTGGTAGTATGCGCGGCCCTTGGAGAAGCTCTCCAGGTCGGCGCGCACGCGGGCCTTGAGGTCCGGGTCCATGGCCACGGCGTCGAGCGTGGCAGGGTGCGCGAACGGCGCCGACGCCCACCTCGGCGCCCCGTCCACGCCGCCGCAACCGGCGTTCACGAAGAGCCGAAGCTCGCGCCGACGCAGCTCCATGTCGTCGGCCACGGACTCGACGTGCTGCAGGTAGGGCCGCAGCACCCGGGTCCGGTCGTGGCGGCGCACGCGCAGCACGAGGGCCTCCTCCTGGCCGCCGTCCCCGCGGGCCAGGCAGGTCCACTGGAGGCGCGCGCCGAGGAAGGCGTCCCGCGCGGTGTGGCCGGGGCCGAGGCGGAGGGAGAAGCCGCCGTGGGTCTTGTTGGCAGAGGAGGAGAGCACGGAGACGGCGTTGGCGTCCTCGAGCGAGGGCAGGGAGGAGACGTACGCCGCGGCCTTGCGGAAGAGCGGGTTCTCCTGGTTGAGGCCGTCGACGTCGCGGAGCCTGCGTGGCACCTCGTGGAGCTGGTACGCCTGCGTTTGGTCGTCGGTCCAGCGCCACAGCCGGCGCAGCGCGTGGAGCGCGGACCTGTGCGACAGCGCCAGGCGCAGCGCGGCCATGGCGAGCGCGGCGTAGGCGAGGAGGAGGAGGACGGGCATGGCGGCGAGCAAGTAGCGCGCGTTGATGTAGGTAGGTACGTGTGGAGTGGGTTTTGGGAGGGTGGCCGGCCAAGGTTTTAAGAGGTGGTGAATGAGATGGGGCGGCGGCGATGGATCATACTCACAATTCACAGCAGGGTCAAATGAGGGAGGGAGGGAGAGGTGTGGCGTGCGGGGAAGAGAGAGGCCTACGTGTGGCGGCGCTAAAATCTGGTTTGCAGCGTCTTCATTGTCAAGTTTGGCGCGTCGCGCAGCGCCGACTTCAGTAGCCGCGCTAAAATGCACAGCGCGCGCAGCTCCAGCAACGCGCTAAAATGCAGCGCGCGCGAGCACCCGGCATCTATATTTGTTCATTTTGGTTACAAATTTCACACATCAACACAAAACACATGGCATATAATTTGAATCTCACAAATATCATTCAACCAAACTCGTACCCAAAAGTTCATGCCCACAACATAATTCAACCAAGTTCAAAATGCAAACCAAGTTCATGACACAAAAGAAAGGCACAACAATCAAGCTTCGTCCTCGTCTTCGTCTTCATCCTCATCTTCCTCCGATTCATTCGACTCCTCTGAAGACGATTCTTCCTCCTCCTATTTATTGTTGCGCCACATCCTCATCACGTGAAGCTCGGAAGGTGTTGTCAAGATCTTCAACGGTATCTTCATGCGAAGGTGGCACACCGGCGGTCGAAGGTGCACCCATGCCCACAATGAGAGACGCAAAACTCATGCCATCCATGCCATCCCATGCCGTCCAAGCCGCCCGGAGGTGCTCCAAAGCCACGCATGCCTCCCATGGTCTACATGGTAGCTCCGAAGCCACCCATGGAACCCATGCCGTCCAAGCCGCCCGGAGGTGCTCCAAAGCCACCCATGCCTCCCATGCTCTTCATGGTAGCTCCGAAGCCACCCATGGAACCCATGCCGCCCATGGTAGCTCCAAAGCCACCCATGGCACCAATGCCACCACCACTCATGCCGCCAAGGCCACCTCCACCCATTGTGCGAATCATGCTCTTTTTTGGATCAAGACTTCTTCACGGACAAGGTTGACATACTCCTTTTGCGCATCATTGAACAAAGATGTGTCCAATAAGAACAAGTGCTTCTCCCATTCCAACAATTTAGCTCGCTCCTCCATGCCCACCTTCCTCTCTCCAATGCCACTTTCCTCTCCTCGGCCGCCACCCTCCTCTCCTCGGCCGCCAACCTCCTCTCCTCGGCCGCGGCATCTTGGTTCCTTGCCATTTCCTCACCTCGTTGGCTTCTTTTCTTGTGTTGACAATTGCTTCCATAGCATTTTTGAGCTCATCATCTCCTTTCCTCTTCTTCTTTTCTTTTGCATCTTTCTTCGTGCCATCCGGTCATTTTGGCTTCGAGTATGAAACCGAGTTTGGTGTGGGGCTTCTCTTGCCATCTTCACTTGATGCATCCTCTTCCTCCTCATCTTCCAAATCAATTGTTCGCTTGCGTGTTTTGCTCAAATCCAAATCATCATTATCCTCACGCTTCTTCCATTTCTCATCATCTTTCAATACTTCATAGCAATGAGGCAAGGTAAATGGCTTCCTTTTTTAATCTTCCCCTTCTTGGTCCTCTTCTCCTCTCCTTTGAACAAGTATTGTGCAATATTTAACTACAAGAAAACAAAACAAGTTAGCACAAGAAACACCAACAACAAGCATGATGAACACGAGGAATGACAAAATGACACTTACCCTATCGTCATCATTGGTGCCACTTGAGTTCAACTTGTCAACCGCTTTTTGTGCGGCCGCCCATTGTTGACAATCCCTATTGATGGTCGACCACCGTGAGCGAAGCAATCGTGCAAAGCGGTCAATTCCACTCATGTTGCGAAGATCAAAGTGTTCTTTCATCCGGAGCCAATAAGCATCTCTACTTTGATCACCTCCAGCGGATGGATCCCTCGACACGTCCAACCAAGTTTTGCATAGCACAACGTCTTTGTCGTTGGTGTAGTTGCCTCCTCTTTCTTTCGGTGCGTCGACAATGCCCTCACCATCCTCATCCACCTCGAACTCATGGTCTTGAAAATGCATGTCATTGGTTTCAGACCAATGCGAATTGTTCGAGCCAACACCCATAGTTGACATGTATGCATCATCGTTCACACTACAAAGTATATAGAACAATGCAATAAGCTAACTATACGTATGCATTCAAAAAATAAGAAGGGAAAAAAAGTTGAGGATTTTTTTTACCTTTGGGGCATATCGTCGAACACATTGTGCGCGTCGGCTGCCGGCTCATCAAGTGAGCCCGCCGGCGCTTCGGTAGCTGCCGCGCTCGTCACACGCCCTGCAAGGTTCTTCCTCGGCGCCTTCGAGGTGCCAGAGCCGTCCGCCGTCTTGTTCTTCTTCGCGGATGTCTTGCCCTTCTTCGGCCGCGCCGCATTTGGGAGCTTCGAGGGGGGGTGCACGTGGCTTCATCACGGCGGGCGCCGCCGCGACGCCACCCGCCGCCGAGGTCATCCGCGGCGGCATGAAGAGGCCGCGCGCGAGGCCGATGCTCGAAGGAGCTCCGGCGGAGGTGAGGCCAATGCTCCCAGCGCTAGGGTTTGCGGCGGCGGCGGAGGAGGGTTCACAGCTGTAGGATGGGGTGAGGGGGATGCCGGCGCGTGCGGAGCGAAGATGCGCGGTGGAGAGAGTGCGATGCGAGCGCACGTGTGTGGCGCGCGCGGAAGCGGGCGTTCCAAATACGCAGCGCGCGATGGTGATTCGGACCGCGCGCCCAACTCTATATACCACGCGCGCGCTAAAATGGGCAAATTTGCAGCGCGGCTGTTGAAGATGCTCTAAGGTAAATGAATCTAGGCTACGTACGTACTACGTAGGTGTGTTTAACATTTTGGCATGACGAGTTTGACTGATCATTCTGCTGCTGCCGGCTCGACTCGACTCGACTGGTTTGAATTGAATTTGTCTTTGTGTTTGGCTTTTGGGTTGTTTCATTCCTTGTCGTTGTTAGGTTTAACAAGGATCCACAAGACTTTCCACAAATCAATTAGTAGTAATGAGGATTAGTAGGAGGAGCATCTAGAAGAGGGACAGACTGCTCGCTTCTTGTTGGACAGCCAGCCGTACAAGTTTTTTTTTTTGAGGGAACAGCCAGCCGTACAAGTTAAATGGAGTAGCTAGCCTGCATCACCCAACCGTTCGTCGGCGACAGAGCCATCTGGCAGTTACTCCAGTTAACTAACTGGCCCTACCCAAAACTAGCGAATCAAACCAGCCGGCAAGCCTGTCAAGCTATCAAAATAATAATAATGAATCAAACCTGGCATTCTTTAATCCCACCGATTTTTTCCAAAATTGTTTAGGGTTTCAATTTGATTTTCATCTATGTTGGCTTGGGTTTTACTTGTGTTACCGCTGTGTTTTTTATTCGTATATCATGTTGGGCACTGTATATATATGTAGACCGTTCATGCTTGTGTGAGCCCCCTTGGGAGCTCTTATTTCACGCCGAAACCGTGAAATTTATTGCTATAACGCTCACGTGAACCAGCCAACGAAGCTCTGCTTAGCCTTTTTCTTTCCCCGATCAATACATTGCTAGCTCAGGAAAAGCTGACTATCCTATTTTTTATTTGAAGAAGTTTGTCAAATAAAATGATATTCACGGATTTTTGATAAAATGTTGCAAATTTGAAAAACATACTCAGTGACACCATGATCTTTTGAAAAAAAAACAATTAACTAAAAATATTCACGAATTTGAATAACATTTCCATTTTTTACACAAAATGTAAATTTGTTCGTGCACTTTAGAAATATTCATGATTTTTTACGAATTTGAAAAATGATCATGGATTTTGAAAATACTCACGTTTTTAAAGGTTCATGAATTTTAATAGATATTCATGAACTACAATTACTAAAAAGTAGAATGAAAAAAAGGAAGAAAATAGGAACCAAAAATAAAATAAAAAACAAATAACCAAAATGACTATTAAAACAATATAAAACACTCAGAAAAAGAAAAATAAATAAATAAATCAAGGAACACCTTCTCAAGACTGGGAAAATTTGGAAAAAACAATCTAAATCAGCAACACACAACCTTTGAAGCGACACACAAGACACAACCTTACAAGTGAAGATTCGCCTACTGATAATCAAACCTAGATCGAGGTTTCCCTCAAACAAAGGATAAAAAAAAACCTTGATGACGTACGTACTCTGACCATCCAATCACAGTTTGGTTTGCAGAACCATCCTTCAAGTTGATGTAGCAACCACCAGCTGCTCCCTTCCTTGTTGGACACCCAGCCTGTATACATATACGTCATGTGTGAATGAGTCAAGACGGGCGGCGTCGGCAACACTCAGTCAAGAGGCCATGATCCATAATCTATACTCCGTCCATTTCAAAATAGATAATCCAATTTTATACTAACTTTGTATTAAAATTAGATCATCTATTGTAAAACGACCTAGGTGCATGTATACGAACCGATCAACGTACTCCATGATGAGCCGCCGGATCGGATCGGACAGCAATAGCTACTCAACTTAACTTTCTTTTTTCACCCTGCCGCTGCATGCATCGAGTTTGTGTGTCCAAACCAAACGCCCACCAAAAACTAATCAAACAATCAATCCTGACATTATTCAGTCCATGCTTACGAATTTTCCTTGTTTGGACCACTATTGTCGTCCGTCGTGTATGCCCATGCTTTGACCTATGTAGCTATACATCGAGGTCAAGTGCATGCCTTTAGATTGAATCAGATTTTGCATCCGGCCGGCATGCATGCATTGACCTGTCAGGATAGACAGAGGGGGAATTAATTTCCTACTCTGGCATCCAGTGCAGTGAGCCACACCCATACTTAGAGCATCTTCAACAGCCGCGCTATAGCGCCGCGCGCGCTGCGGCTGGTTTTGCGCGCCCGCCTGCGCTGGCTCCAGCAGCCGCGCCATAATGCAGCGCGCTCGCGCCGTTCCAGCAGAGCGCAAAAATACA